TATCAAGAAGAACCCAAATATTTGCAACAGACCATGAGTATTGGTATCAAGATAAGAATATGGGTATTATAAAACCAACCTAATTATATTTTCGCATCAATATATGTACGTTATAGGCACGATGCATACATACCTATACGTGAGAAACCATTACGTCATAACATGAACAACACATCCTTTATTTAGAATGCGTCTGTCAGTCGTCTGATGCAGTTGTATCCTAATAGAAGGATGCATCACGCAGTCAGTCATCCGATGCAGATATTAAATCAATGATATCCCTCCAGTAAAATACTAATAAATGTTCTAAGCTAGAACTTGTAGTTAGATATGAAAACCACTATAAAACCACCCCAGGGATGTGGCCAAAAAATATATGGAAACATATTCCCCTACTAATGCAGTGGCACATAAAACCCCAGGGAAAGGGGTGAAGGAAAATACATTACAATGTTACAAAAACTACTCCAAAATTATACTAATGGAAAAGGGTGCTCGTCTAAATACCTAAATTCATAAACTATGTACTAAAATAAGAAATGTTATTCCAAAACATACAGATTTGACAGACATAACAAAATAACATGTAGCAAAGGAAAACTATCAGAAGGGCTGAGCTGATGTAGAATGGCACTAGTCTCGTGCCAAAACCATAAATAGCCGGATACTATCCCAGGAACACCAGCGCACCTCTATACCGTGCCGTCAGAATATTAATTTTTGACTAATTCATTCCCATGTCTCTCAATCGTCAGAAATTACATATTCTGGCATGGCATACTGACTTTCTAAAATCTTTGTTAAATACAGATTGATGAAACTGGACGGTACACTGGCAATTTCAAAACATATGCCTTGTGTGGAAACATCAGACAACAGGTGGGGGAATTAATTGCCTTTCAAAATTGTGCTTGTTATTGATGTTTCCTGAGATCGCACCAGCATTTTTTCAATTGTTGGAGGGCATACTCTTGCCCTCCAACATGGCAGCCAAAACTACTTTTTGCTTATATCTTGTCAAACGTTTGATAGTTATACTCAGATGTGCTGCAAATGTTACCACATCATCTTTTCAACACTTTCCTTGAAGTTTAAGTCCAAAATTTGTGTTTAGAAAGAGGTAATTCATGATTTTAAGAATCACATTTTGGTCACATGACCAGCTACGAACTTACTCATTTTTAGAAAATCGTGCTGGTGTGAAAAACCAAATAACTATTATTTCGCTTAAGATATGACCCACTAATGGTTTTTCGAAGGCAAAATCATATAACTTTCATTTTCATAAAAACAATGCCACATGACCTCTTAGTGCAAATGGCCTATTGTGCAGGTGTCGAGACAAGTGCTGAAATTATCCAAATTTGTTTTCTTTATTATAATTATTTTATTATTATTATTATTGTTATTATTATCAAGGCTCGAAATAATTTCCGGAGAGCCTTCAGACACGATGACCGGCCAAATTCATTTTAACTCGGTCACTTGTTTCTGGCCGGTCAAATTTATGAGGTAAATAATTCAGCTGTGGGTTCAGATATTTCACGGGGTCTAGGGGCCGCGAAATTTGTTAGAAATCTTATCTAAATACATGTCGATACAACATATTTGAAACTTATCTTGGCTATTGGGGCTGTTAATTGCCGTCAACTTCATCCCCACAAAGAGCGAACAACATTCCAAAACTACTAGGCATAAGTTATGTTGGGGACAACTGGGCACTATTCATGATGTTTTAAAAAGCTTTGCCATTGGCTCATTTCTCGAGCGCTTTGTTGTTAAAATAGCAAGTGATTATCTCTGTAAAAAACTTTAAACATGCTCGTCAAATCAGCACAAAATCAATCGATTTCTAGCGAAATTTGTCCAGAAAATTCCGACGAAATCGACCGTTTTTATCTATTGTTTTTCGGCTAAGTTAGTCCCGAAAATTTCCGAGAAATTCCCGCGATATCAGCCGATTTTTCTGCGAGTCTCTCTAAAAATCCAGCGAAACTTGACTTTTTTCTCCGCGACCGATCAGACGCCCTTAAGTTGTTGCTTAACTCATAAAAGTGAAAATATTTTTAATTTTGTGACCGAAAGCGCGTGGACCCCAATGTCTGTTTCAATGCGCGAATTGTAAACAACTGTTCTAGTTGTATTTCACCCAGGATTTCAGATCAACGTTTCGCAATGCACAGCGACTTGCTACATACTGATAACAATTGAAACAACTGATTTCATTTTCAATACGATCGATTGTGACCGGTCAAAATGACCGGCAAGACGAAAAGTTGACTGGTCAACTCCCCAATCAGTCCGGACATTGTCCGTTGACCGGCCGTTATTTCGAGCCCTGTATTATTATTATTATTATTATTTATAATGTATTTCTCCCATTGTTCTGAAAGCTAGTTAACTTATCGTTTCATTTATGTAGGGTGAGGCTGATGATGCTCTGACCAGGTTGTGTTGCAAACATGGCATCATAAACAAGTATGTTTATCCTCACTCTTAA